GGCGGGTGTGTGTGTGTGGGGGGGGGATGGGGGATGGGGGTGTCCTGTCCGTGTATTGCTGATGCCCAGCAGACGCTGCAGTGACTCTGAGAAGCAGCACACTACCCCACCTCCGCAGAGCACATCCTGTCTCTCTTGTTCACAGCTGTCTTTTGGGTTGGTTGAGACAAAATGATTATTAATTTCCCCTCAGTCTCTCACAATAAACCCAGAAAAAATAAAAAAGGGACAAAACCATACCTTAAACTCTGAGAAACAACAACTACTTTTTTATTTCACTATAAGCACTAAGGCTTTAAAAGTAAGAACACCACAAAGTAGTATCGCCTATTCCAAACAGGCATGAGGAGTAACTAGTGCTTTCATCTGCCACGGCACTTGGTACCCAGGGCCTGCCTGCTTTTAATAGTTGGGGAATGGGGCTAAGCGAGAAGGCTGCAGTTAATTGTGAAGCAGATGCTGTACTTAGATGAAAGATTAAACAAAATTCTTGAATTCGTACCAAGTAAGTCACTGATTTAATATGCTTGTCAATTAATACCCTTCATGGGTTTGCTCACTATAGCAAATAGTACTGTAACTTTTAACTGAATTTTTCTTCTGTTTCTGCTGCAAACAATAGCACAGTGAAACTATTTTATGATTAGGCTTTTACAGCCAAATAACTTATTTGAGTTAGACCCAGGAAAGGTATTAGTTCATACAGTTATGTTTTGACATCAGACTTCAGGCTTGCTAATAACAGAGAACTCGACACCACGTTGGTTGAGGCGATCGATCAGTTTTGTTTTGGAGAAGGCAGCTCCCGGAGAATATACACCACCCCTGTTAATGAAAATCAGAAGAGAAAAACGTTAGTGGTGCAGTGGTTGAGTAACACCTGGTTTTGAAGCCAAGGATGTGTTTCCCTGCTAAAAAAAAGAAAAAGCCACTTTGTCCCACAGGAGAGCATATAAGGAATCTGGCAATCTGGTTATATTCATAGGTTCATCTCTGTATCCATCAAACTCAATAGAAACCATTCAATTAACTGAAAATATAGACAATACAACAGATGCTGCAAAGGCATTACTAAAAACCTATGACTATATCCTTTCAAACTGAAAGGCAGATGAAGAGCAAGTGGCTTTAAATCAGCTTGTGGTGAATTATCTCCCTTGCACAGCCCTCTGGGTGAGGCAACACAGAAATCCACGGGGTTGCAAGATCTCTATTTTCAAAGATAAATATATGTACACAGTAGCTTGAAGGGAGATCAGGCTATTCTGCATGGGAAAGTACTTACTTTTTAGGCAGACAAGCTGCATCTTCCAGAAGAGAGAGAGCTGCCTGAACCATTGCAATTGGTGTAGCAACATAGCCAGGCTCTGACGAAAACAAACAAAAAACCAATGTAGAATGTATTCCTGCACCTACAGCATGCTGAAGAATAATCTCTTTGGCAATGCAACAGCCTTCCCCATTTAAGAACAGCTTTTTGACCTGGTTATCATCCCAAGTCGTTGGTGAAGCCCTTAAGATCTAATCTGGACAAATACAGGCTTATAACCACACACCAACCAACCATGACCTATTACCCCACTGTGACCGAGGGCTCTCTGTTACCACAAGAGCTTTCCCCATCCTGTGCTGCTTCTGTGAGACTGTTGCATTCAGCTACATCTCTAGTTATTTAAAGAAGCTATGCTTCATTAACTCCTTTCTGAATATACATTCTTGCTGTCTCCCAGCTTTACTTCAGGTGTCATCTCCCCTCAAAGGAACTGTCTGAACACCAGTATGTTATAGCTAGAAATCATGCTGTGGCAGATCTCCCACAGAGATTCACCCACAGAGGCCTGGAAATAAACAAGTAATAAGTGCAGGCTGTAACAACTGAAAACTACCCTTACAGCCCTCTCAGTTTAACTACTCTACTCTGCAAATGTGAACACGGGAACAGAGAAAGTTGGAAGGAAAGGAATGACGAGAACACAAATGAATTGGCTGTTTAAAAAAAAATAGGTCACGATGAATGCTAGACTCCATGGTAATACTCTGTAAAGGCTGTTTATTTTGTCCGTGCTGCAAGTGCTCCCCGAGGGTTAAAGGAATAGCAGTGGAACCACAAACCTATTTTAGAGTAGGGAACATGAGGCAAAACCAGTTAGCTGCTGTTATCATACACACCTGGTCCCTTCACTTCAGTGCAGATCTTTATATTCGGTTTGCCATTCTGGGGATCTTGCCCCTCGCTGTAACCCTCGCCAAAAAAAGTCATTGTAAAAGAGGTTCCATCCATCTGAAGTGGACAAGACAAGAGCGGTCACCAAAACAGTAACTCGGTTGTATCAGGCAAGCACAAGTAGTAAATACAAGTCTCTCCTGTGCCCAGTACTACAATCCATCTAAACATCGGAGTAGTTATTTTGGGTTATTGCTTAAAAGGCACAAGTCTCATCTAAATTTTTAATCACTTCTGCTTTGCTGGAACTGTTCTTGTTCTGAAGTCCATTTATTCTCTCACTGCTTTCAGTCCTGTGTTTTTGCTACTCAGCCTCCCTGTCATCACCTTTGACAAACTGAGTGCTGTGAGCCATCCATGTAAATACATCAGACCCAGCAACACGATCCATTTTTTCCTCATACGAGTTCCACATCCTTCAATGTTTAATAGCAGAAGGTGTGATTATTTAAACATTCAAGGCTATATGAACAGGCACACACAATGTGCATTCAGAAATTACTTCTTTGAGACTTAAGCAGTTGACTCTAGATTACTATTCTACCATTACCATAACAAATTAATTCAGTAATTGTGATGGAAAACAGTCAGTTACCTGTTTCTGGGTTGGTCCTTTCTTTGTGAAGCGTCCAGCAGAGAAAAATTCCGGGTACTATATAATAACGGCGGGGGGGGAACAGACAAAAAAAAGAGAACAACATTAACCTCTAGAGAGGAACAAAAAATGTCCAAACACTTAATTCTTTTGTGTTTTGAACACTTACTTTTGTCAGAAGTTTTCTTCCAAAACTAAACTTCACAAGAAGAAGAAATAAAATGCCAGCAAACATCAGCTTGATAACAGAGCCAAGACCACCTACATTCACATAAGCGCCATACTGCACCTGAGGCACAGACATATTTTCAGTGATAGCATTTACATTACAATTTTTGCATCGTTTCATTTGTAAAAATAAATCTACCCCCAAATTAGGAAGTAATTGTTTGATACAACAGACAGCTGTCCAAATAAGGCCTTAAACAACTGTCTTCCTTCTAAACAACTCTTTGAATAACGCTTCACTTTATAATTCATTATGAGACAACAATATGACTACAGAATGATGAGGGAGTGAGCATGGTAAACAAGAGTGGAAAACTTTAAAGAAAGATGTGTCTTGGTAACCTGATTGCAGGTTTCTTTCCCCAAGATCTTCCTTTCCTCCTCTTTGTGCTTTAGTTTAAGAGAAACTGAGGCCTTATTTTAGAATTCTGGAATAGCAGTGGCAAGCCTCTCTCATTGGTAGCTTCCAAGTCTAGTTTTAGAGCGATATCTCACCTTCATCTCTTAACTGATGCCTGTGACTCTGCACAGCCGTTATACAGATTGTTGGTGCTGGTCTCCCCTCAGGAAACCATGGAAAACAAAACCTAAACATCTCTGCCGCCACCACCACCACCACTTCACGTTGCCTTTACTCTGCACACCAGAGACCCGAGCATCAAAGAAGTCTCCAGACAGCAATGAGCAGCATGGGAAATCTTTATCAGAATGTTTACTGTGCTGTACTGACCTGACTATACTTGCACAGACTAAAAAGATGATGCTTTTAGAAGCACTACTGATCCAACAAAAAAAGCCTCTGCACAGGAACAGAATTTAATCATGCCCAAAAATCATGAAGCCTACCTCTCAAATATTTCTGTGACTCAAAGCTTCCATTCTCTACAAATACATACCCAGAAATCAGACAGCATGAGAGTCCTACAAGAGACTCTTGCAACTACTCTGCTAGCAGCAATTAACAAGTTCATCAGGCAAAGTATCAAGTAGTAAGAAACAGAACTGTAAGTAAGAACCTGGGCCACATTAGGTCAAGGAACTTCCAAAGGTGATCAACCGAACAAGCCTCCTTCTTCAGGGAAGGAAAAGCGCATCACAGTTCATTACTATTTACCTAACTACAGAAACCCTACCACACAGATCTGCACTAGGAACAGTTATTACATGAAGGAAAGATTCTCTGAGAATGGTTAATAAGGACATGGAACACGAGTGACAGTGACTTACAGGTGTTTCATGCAACACTGTGTGCAAATAACGCTGAGACCGCTTCACGACGGAAACATCAGATCCCATGAATGGAATGGAGTACTCTTTGAATTCCTGATTGTAAAAGGCAAGTCCTCTGCAAATTTAAAAAACAAGTCAGAAAAAAGATTCAAATGTTTATGCAAACTGAAAGAAACTGATCGTAACAGCCCTACCAGTACTGGCTTTTTCTTCAGCATTTTTATGACATTCTCTCTTTTCCCTGAAAGCAAACCACTCCAAGTTTATCCCTGGCTCAACTCAAAATTCCATGCACTATAGCAAGGATGAATCTGATAACCAAAATAATATCCTCCTCATATTTATTTTTTACATTCTCCTGATCACTTCTGAAATCAAACTTAAAAGTTTGCCATGTCTCTGAAAGTCTCTTAGAACAAGTTAACTTTGAGACCCAGCAAATGCCAGGACATGTTATTTTCTCAGCAGAATCACAGAATGGTTTGGGTTGGAAGGGACCTTAAAAGATCATCTAGTTCCCCCCCCCATGCCATGAGCAGGGACACCTTCCACTAGACCAGGCTGCTCAAAGCCTCATCCAACCTGGCCTTGAACACTTCCAGGGAGGGGGCATCCACAGCTTCTCTGGGCAACCTGTTCCAGGGTCTCACCAAATATGAACACATCGGTAAAACTGAACTTATCTTCAGTTCTACTAGATGAGCATCTGTGTGCCCATATTATACTAAAGTCCAAACTGACTTTTAAAATATTTAATAATATGTTAACAAGCGATATAAAGAATAGTGGTACTGTTAGAAGACAGCATGTTTAACATCTTACGCTTTTTATACCTTCTTTTAAGTTTTGCACCAACTACTGGAACAGGAGCATAGCCTATCTTTTTGCGAAGTTTCCGCAGTTTGTCTTGATCCGCAAGGCCGTAAACAGCTGACTTCCAGGTCCCATCATGGATACAAGAACCCTGGTGACATACCATGAAACAGTAAGTCATTCAGTAGCTAAAGATTTCATCTACTATTTTAATAGTGACCTTAGAATTATTACATCTATTACACATTATTACAACTGTTACATATACATAGTATGCTTACATGCATTGAAGTACATTGAAACAAAGCCCCACCCAAAGAATAAAACCAAAGAGCCACACACTAGGATTCCTGTCAACACACCACGCATCTGTTATAGTTTACTTGTGTATGATTCCTTCCCACATCTCTGCAAACACTAAGTATTTCTTCAAACAGCTTAACACAACAAACTTTAGGGAGATAGCCTATGCAAATGAACCTTATAAAAGGGTGTTTGCTTGGGATTCCTTTATTGGTTCCTAAAGAATACAGTTCTTAGACTCGTCATGAAACAACTGCCAGCTTGTTCCTAGGTCTGAATTAATGTAACCACAGCTATTCTAATGGGCCACGGTGATGTTATCACAAACACATCTGAGTATCCAGGAAGGTATAAACCAACTAACCTCAGGGCCAGATTTCACCGTCAGGAAACTCTCGACAGCAGTTAAGGTTCCTTTAAGGGAGGAGAAAACATCACTTGGCATATAGAATAGACTAGGCTATTTCAGCTGGAACGGACCTGCAACCATCATCTACTCCGACTGCCAACATACAGCCATTAGTTCACAAGGCCAGAGTACACTCTGGCAGGCTAAAATCACAGGCCACTGACATCATGAGTTGCAAAGGCAGAGTTGCATCTTGCTCTCAAAGGAAAATAAACTAAGAAAAGTCCCACAGGTATTTTAGTTAGCAAGTATCAAATTCCTTATGGAAAGTACTTCAGTGAGGGTCACTGACATCCTCTTTACTCATTGCATTTTTCATTTGTCTTATCTAGTTAATGAGACAATGTAAATAATCAATGAAAAAAAAATGAAAAAGGAAAAGCCTACTAAGAGCCATATGTAGTTTTCCTCCAATTTTCAAACTAAAGGATGACACAGGCTCTGAAAAATGAGACGGACTTATGGATTTTGGTAGACTTTAACTACCAAAAAAAAGAAAAATACAAACCTGCAGAAAATGCAAAACACACAAGATATCCTAAAACATTTAATTTTAGCACAGCTTGTGTTTTGCAAGGAATGCTTAGTTGTGATGAACAGCAAAACAAAACAACTCCTCCAAATTCTGCTTTGTTTAGCTTTACGCTCGCATAGAACCAAACCATCTCACACCTTTTCTCACATATATTTATCCTCTTTCAGTGACTGTCTAGCTGTTCCTCAAGAAAAAGGCACTGTACACTGCTGTCCATCTACTTACACTCACCCAACAGCTTCTCAGTGTTTGCAGCAGAAAAACAGAACTTAACAAAACTTGATTACCCACTAATTTGCAACCCCTTTCCTGCAGCCTTTCTGTCCCCACTGCCTCTTCCCTACAAGACTCTCACTAGACAGGAGGCAGCGTGCTGAGGCTTGCCCAGGGACATCCACACGCCGGCTGGACAGCCCGCTGTCAGATGCTAAAGGCAGGCAAAGAGAGAGACGGAAGGAGATTCCACATAAGCGCTGCTGCTTTAGGAAACCAGGTGAGCGCATCACCTGCCTTTCTTTTTCAGCATAAGGTCACACTTAACTAAGTCACCTTTCAGCTTGTCTCTGGTGTACAGTACTCCCATATCGGCTGGTATAGAGTCAAAGCCACAGCTCCCAATGATGTACACTCCCTTTTCTGCAGCTTTCTCGTTGTATTTCAGGTACATTCCTTCCAGAAACTAAAAGACAGCCAGAACAAATATTTTAAGCACAACTCCACATTTGGCCATACCCAACATTAGCCATCAGCACTTTATGGTGATTATCGTAGCACCCTACATACTTCAAACCACTTACAAGCATCTTTAAGACAGATAAATATTATTCCTGGTTTAAGGGATCAAAGTGTTGCAGCAGCACAAACAAGTGTGATCTGCACAAAATTCCTACGTAGAATCACAACTGAGACTTAAAGTAGAATTCAAAACTTGGGGATTTCCAGAGAGAACCTGAGAGGCTCTTGTCAAAAAGTAAGAAATCTGCACAACTAACACACATTTGCCTACTTACAAGATAACTAATGCATCTTAAAATTGTAGATCTGGAGGCAGAATTTGCCTTTGTGTTCAATATGAACCATACTAAACAAATACTCCTTTAACAGATCCTTGATACAAGATAGCATTTTTGTACGGTCACGTACCTGGGGCTCTCCACTGATGTCAATGCAGCTTGCACCATTTTCAACACAAGCTTCTACCACAGGCTCTCCAAAGAATCTGTACTACAGAGGCAAAAAACACCACACGTAACAAAACAAAACCCACACACCGCAACTCGCCCAATGGGCTTTCTCTAACATATGCATCTACAATAAGAGTAGACTCTTAGTGGCTACTGATTCAGCTAAGTGGGGCAAAAATGTAATAGCCCTCGCATTGGGGTTTTCTGGGCTGGGCGGGGAGAAAGCAGCGTAACAATCCTCATCACTGGGGATGGAGCGTGTGTGCAGACTACTCTGCCACATTCCTCTCCGGAGATCAGCTCACCGAGGCCACCTGAACGCATCTATCTCCATTTATGCCTTTTGCACTCGGACTATCAGCACTCTCCACTTGAACACTCTTGATCTCAAAGACGTTACCGTGACCCCACTGCCAGCTCTCGTCCTTCGATCCCTGGCGAATGCGCTGGAAGTGCTGCCGCCGGCAGGTTGAGAGGGGCCGAGAACGAACTTC